ATGCACAGTTAGACAGTGGCTATTTGAATTAAAAAAATATAGGTCAACTCCACGGCAAGTGAGTTCATTGGATTAACAACCTTTGGGCACACAGAACGGGGTTATGTGATCGGATCAGTAAGGCCTCACTTATTGCCAACAGTTTTGCATTGTAGTTACGTAACAACGGCTTGAAAGAGGAAGCGGGATCAACTATGTGTTTGGTTGTCATGAGGTGTTTTGAAATTGATGACCCCGGGTTACGTGTGACCATCTGACTACTAGACATAGGTTGCGTCATTGACTTCACTAACCACTTTGAAATGTGTTCGGTCATCCGCTGTGATAATTGACGGTTGGTTCTGCCTATATGCAACACCGCAACTGCAGGTGAACTGGTATACAGTGTGTGAGAGAGAATCGGACTGCCAAACATGCACACGTTTGTCCAAATCGATTCCACGAGTAGAGGTGATAAGTCGGAGTTGAGCAGCTGGGAATGTGCGGCTGAGAGCCGATTTTAACTTTTGACGCACATCGTTCAGAAGGTGATCGCCCTTGAAAGATAGTTTGATGTAAACGGTTTTCTGGGGAACAGTTGGTAATGGGTTACCCTTTTGGGATTGTTTACCATGGAAATCAATGAATCTTTCGGGGTAATCGTTTCGAAGTAATGTTTGCTTCAGGAATTCTTCTTCATCTCGTAGTGTGTCTGGGGAACAAATGCTTCTGGCTCGATGGAACAGAATTTTTACGAGTCCGCGTTTGTAAGCCATGGATGAGAAACTAGAGAACTGTAAATATTGGCCATTCCATATTGCTTTTCTGTGGATAGAGCGCCGTAATGTACCATCTGAGCGCCTCGTAATTCTGATTTACAATTTCAATGTGCTATAAATGTGCTTGTTTGTTTCACGTCAGCGATTGAGAAGATTAAACAAAATGTTAACATCTCACGTTATATGTCCTATCAAAGACCCCATACAACCCATATATAGATGAAAATATTCCACAATAAACCACTTTGCATTCAATATTGTCAAATCACGATGAGACTGAATTAAAAACGCAGCCAAACATGAAATTTTATTCTTGAGTGATACTTCGTTAACTCAAACAAATTATAAATGAAATGTTGAACGCCTTTTGTTTAAATGATTGCATTATTTAAGCAAATAACAATAAAAATGGGTTACACGAGAAAGAAAGGTGAACATATTTGTGCATT